ATTCTTTCTCCAAAAAAAAAAAAAAAAATCACCCACTAGAAGAAACTAATATGGTGTCTGCAAGGTAGATGGGAACAAGGATGGGAACAGCCATCTCTGTGTTCCTTTTAGAATAGTTTGAACTTCATAAGCCACTTTTAGAAAAATATTGAAAATTTTTTTTGGCTTGGCACTCGTAGAGCAGTGGTTACAGCGCCAGCCACATACACTGAGGCTGGCAGGTTTGAACCTAGCCCGGGCCAGCTAAGTAACAATGACAACTGCAACAGAAAAATAGCTGGCCATTGTGGCAGATGCCTGTAGTCCCAGCTATTTGGGAGGCTGAGGCAAGAGAATTGCTTTAGACCAAGAGTTGGAGGTTGCTGTGATGCCACAGCACTCTACGTAGGGTGACATAGTGAGACTATGTCTCAAAAAAAAAAAAAAAAAAATTCAAAATGTTAAAGTCAGCTTAATCTCTACAAAATGTTACCAGACTTATCCAAGGTGTTCCTTTAATAAATTCTGTATTTCCATAATAGTAACTCACACTAAGTTGTCCATAGCACTTACAATTGAGAATGGGGCTGAAAGTAATGGTTTTGTACCTGTAATAAGCAATAGTAGGAGTTCAATGTTTGTTAAAAGTGAATTCTCCCTGTGTTCCTATAGAAACCAGAACCAGAAAGAAGAATGGGGAGAAGGAAGTATTCCCACCTAAGGAGGCACCCCGCAAGGGAAAGCGAGGCCGGCGGCCTAGTAAACCCCGATTGATTCCCAGGCAGACATCTGGGGGCCCCATCTGCCCAGATTGTGGCTGTACCTTCCCTGATCGCCCGGCCCTGGAGAGTCACAAGTGTGCTCAGAATCTGAAAAAGCCTTACCCTTGCCCAGACTGTGGGCGCCGCTTTTCCTACCCATCCCTGCTAGTCAGTCACCGGCGGGCACACTCTGGTGAGTGCCCCTATGTTTGTGACCAGTGTGGCAAACGTTTCTCCCAGCGCAAAAACCTCTCTCAGCACCAGGTTATCCATACAGGCGAGAAGCCCTACCACTGCCCTGACTGTGGCCGCTGCTTCCGTAGGAGCAGGTCTTTAGCCAATCACCGGACCACGCACACAGGCGAGAAACCCCACCAGTGTCCCAGCTGTGGACGTCGCTTTGCCTACCCCTCCCTGCTAGCCATCCACCAGCGAACACACACAGGAGAGAAGCCCTACACCTGCCTAGAATGTAACCGCCGCTTCCGCCAGCGCACTGCCCTAGTCATTCACCAACGCATCCACACTGGTGAGAAGCCCTACCCATGTCCAGACTGTGAACGGCGTTTCTCCTCCTCCTCTCGCTTGGTCAGTCATCGGCGTGTACACTCTGGCGAGCGTCCCTATGCCTGCGATCACTGTGAGGCCCGCTTCTCCCAGCGTAGTACACTGCTCCAGCACCAGCTCTTGCACACAGGAGAGAAGCCCTATCCCTGCCCAGATTGTGGACGTGCCTTCCGGCGGAGCGGCTCCCTGGCCATACATCGCAGCACGCACACTGAGGAGAAACTGCATGCCTGTGATGACTGTGGCCGCCGCTTTGCCTACCCCTCACTGCTGGCTAGTCACCGGCGTGTGCACTCAGGCGAGCGGCCCTATGCCTGTGACCTTTGCTCCAAGCGGTTTGCCCAGTGGAGCCATCTAGCTCAACACCAACTACTGCATACTGGGGAGAAGCCTTTCCCCTGCCTAGAGTGTGGCCGATGCTTCCGCCAGAGGTGGTCTCTGGCTGTCCACAAGTGTAGCCCCAGGGCCCAAAACTGTAGCCCTAGATCTGCTCTTGGGGGGCCAAGCCAGAAGGGCAGTGCCCTTTAGAATGGGAAAGACTGCATATGTTCATTTCACTTCATGGAAAGGTCCAGAAAAGAGAAAGAGGAGCCCTAGGTCACACAGGGCAGAGTCAGAACTAAAACCCAGGTCTCCTGCTGCACAGCTATGTGTATCTAGGACAGTCCCAGTAGGAGTGGTGATATTTTGTTAACATTTTACAAGCTACCGTAGCCTAGCTTATTTCAGAGGCTGCCTGCTTTTCTAGTTTGTGCATATAGGGATTTACTGTTCCCTTGCATGCAGTCAGGAGAATCCCATTTATAGGAGCAGGACCTTCTCCTACTCTGCCTCTAACTCTATACCAGGTTGGAAAAGCCTGGTTTGGCCCACTTTTTATAACACTCCTGCCAAGTAGTCTTGTTTGAAAACTTCCCTTGACAGGGTGACTCACTACCTCACAAGGCAGGTCATTTCATGTGGGATAGCGCTGGTCTTTAGAAGGTTGTCAAGTACCACATTCTCGTCTCTAAACCTTGTATAGAATATGTTTAAATACTTCATCTAGGCCAGGTACAGTGGCTCATGCCTGTAATCTTAGCACTCTAGGAGGTTGAAGTGGGTAGACTGCTTGAGGTCACAGGTTCAAGACCAGCCTGAGCAAGAGTGAGACCCCATCTCTTAAAAACTAGCTGGGCGTTGTGGCAGACACCTGTAGTCCCAGCTATTTGGGAGGCTGAGGCAAGAAAATCGCTTAAGCCCAAGAGTTTGAGGTTGCTGTGAGCTGTGACATCATAGCACTCTATCAAGAGCAACATAGTGAGACTGTCTCAAAAAAATATAATAATTCTGTGTCCTAATTAATTCAATCTCAAAATTCCCCACCAATTGTTTACATCATTTCTCAAGAAATTCAGTTAGGGTGGCACCCATAGCTCAGTGGGTAGAGGGCCAGCCACATACATTGAGGCTGGTGGGTTTGAGCCCAGCCTGGGCCTGCTGAACAACAATGACAATTGCAACAAGGGCGTTTTGGTGGGTGCCTGTAGTCCCAGCTACTCTGGAGGCTGAGGCAAGAGAATTCCTTGAGCCCAAGAGTTTGAGGTTGCTATGAGCTATGACACCATGGCACTCTACTGAGGGTGACAAAATAAGACTGTCTCCAAAAATAAATACTTCATCTGCAGGGCAGCCCTTCAGATAGCTTAATCACAACCACTTTGCCCCCAAGTTTTCAGGTTATATAGCACTAATATGATCAATCATTCCTTAAGATGGTTTCAATTCCCACACGATGTCTCTCCAAATGCACTGTTTTTCCAATGTTCCATTTAAAGGGCCATACAAAAATAAGGTAGCACCCTGTGTATACTGTATACTTCCTTGTTCTATATTTGTTTCAGCAGCCCTAGGTTGCACTGGATTTTGGGGCAGCTGCACCATACCAGGGGTTCATGTTGCAGACAGCTAAATGCCCTAAACTTAAAAAAAAAAAAAAACATATGCTATAGATCTGAGTCTTATTTGCCTTGTGTTTGGAAGATTGGTTCAAGTTGGGTATGAGAGTTATAAGTGCAGTAAGCTTTGGGAGAAGGTTGATCTTAAGGAGAAACAAGGAACCTATGGTCTAGTAGCAAGAAATAAAAATGGGACTGGCTTGTGCTTCATCTGGTAGACTTGGAGTAGTTCCAGGCAGACCAGTGCTGGAAAATCCTTAAGAACTGGGTCTTACTCCTCCCTGGATCTCATCAGAATTAGGAGAATCAGTACAGAAATGCCTATGAAGCCTCAGTCAACATTTTTTTCATAAAATGAGATAAGGCCTTTCAAGGATAATAAAGTTAGGTAATTGATACAAAGAGGAAGAGTCTGTCAACAAATTGCAACCATGCCAGCCTCCCTTCTGAGGGGCAGCAGGAACAGCAGCAGTGTCTTAATCTTTGATATGCCTCCATAGCTCAGTAAAGCTTTACCGAATTAAATGTGAACAAGGCCTGCCACTTTGCCTTGGGCAGCTGTACCAAATTGGAATTTTTTTTTTTTTTTTTTGAGACAGTCTTTGTCGCTCTTGGTAGAATGCCGTGGCATCATAGCTCAAACTCTTGAGCTCAATGGCTTAGCACCTGTGGCTCAAGCAGCTAAGGCGCCAGCCACATACACCTAAGGTGGCGGGTTCGAATCCCCAGCCCGGGCCCA